ATCATTCCCATAATTACTGACTCCATCCAATTCCAAAATTTTTATTCGTCGTTTCTAATTTTTGGAAATTATTTCCCCTTCCAGTTGAAGACGTTTTAATCTTCCTGCCGATTTGAGAAGTTATTCCCGATATCTGTGATTTTTCAAGTTTTTCACAAATTTATGGGAAACGATTGATGAAATTCAGGTAAAAAAAATGAAAATATATTGAAGATGACTTCTCTTTAATTAGCAATTTCATTGATTTCGTACATTTTAATTACTCATTACCAACGATTTTGGAGGATTCATTCATAATATTTTAACAGGTGAGCCATAATTGTGAGTAGCAGAAAAATGAAAATATTTACACGAAGAATTGTGCAAGGAAAACGGCATTTCCGCCCCAGTTATATGCAGTCCATGAGTATCTAAACATCCGAGTTCTTCATAACGGATTTGAAACGAGCCGTTCATGATAGAGAAAATGATCTTCATGCATGGAGCTGGTGAAAATAATTTTACTAATTACCGTGCATCGCTCGCAGGAAAGATTCGATAATTGGTTGGATGTGGATTTAATAATCGCACAGATATAAATATTCATTAAAAAATACGCAACAATTCACGTAACTCGCCAAGAGAGAATTTTTCAGCTGAATCTCTCTCAGGATGCAGTATTTTTATTAAAAAAAAATGTAATTATCTTAGGAGTATTCACTCGCCTCCAGACGTCCTTCGCAGAGTCCTTAACATTTTAATGGATGATGTGTCTGTACATTCCTTTTACCCCCCACATGTACATCTCATTGTTTTAATATTCGATCCATCATTACGAGATGGACATTACCCAATCCGATTAGCGAGAAATCTCGCGATTCCACGCACAGAGGAATTTCTTGGCCTTTCACTTTCATTCCGTTGATTTTTGTCAGATATTTATTATCCCCTGAATTTTCCTGATACAGCGGAATGATCCAATCATTTATTCCTGAGAATCATCATGTGTCAATAATTCGAATACTTTCGTTACTCTTGGAAAGTTTGAAACTATCGCCCAGAGGTTTCGATTAATTTAAATAAATAAAGGTCTTTCTCAACCCAATGGCATCCGCACTAATGGAAAATAAATTCTTTCAACATTCAAGATTTATTCGGTGCCAGAGAATATTATCTTCTCAATTTTTCAAGTCGTGAAATCCACTGACGATTTATTTTTTTTCTCACAGAGAAAAATGTCCCTCAACCGCAAGAGATTCTCTCGTCTTACATTTCTTATGAAATTCTCGGGAAAATATGATAGGCATTTTAACGAGAATTCCACAAAATCGGGTAGACAGTTATAAAAAGTTTAACGTACAAAAAATCGCGGGAAGGAAATTCCGGCGATTCTAAAATTTCCTGTGGAAATCAAAATAATTTTTTGGGAATTCCTCTATATGGCGATTATTAGAAATTTCCCGGAGAAAAATTGATATGCTATTTACAAAATGAATATTTCTATG